TATGTACAGAGGGAACAGCATGTGTAGAGGGAACAGCATGTGTAGAGGGAACAGCATGTGTAGAGGGAACAGCATGTACAGAGGGAACAGCATGTGCAGAGGGAATGTGTGCAGAGGGAACAGCATGTTCAGAGGAAACATTTACAGAGGAACAGCACGTGCAGAGGAAACGTGTGCAGGGAAACAGCATTGCAGAGGGAACAGCATGTGCAGAAGGAACATGTGCATGTGGAACATGTGCAGAGGGAACAGCATGTGCAGAGGAAACGTACAGAGGGACAGCATATGTAGATGGAACATGTACAGAGGGAATGTATGCAGAGGGAACATGTGCAGAGGGAACATATGCAGAGAGAACAGCATGTACAGAGGGAACAGCATGTGCAAAGGAAATGTGCAGAGGAACAGTATGTGCAGAGGGAACAGCACATTCAGAGGAAACATTTACGGAGGAACAGCATGTAGAGGGAACATGTGCAGAGGGAGCAACATGTACAGAGGGAGCAGCATGTACAGAAAGAACAGCATGTGCAGATGCCCAGAGGTGGAGACAGAAGGGAGGGGAGGATCTGGGACTTAAATGTGAGGGCACTGGGGAGCCATAGAAGGGTTCAGAGCAGTGATTCTCTCTCCAGGGTGATTCACCCCCAGGGAACACTTGGTGATGTCTGGGGACATTTTTGGTTGTCATGACTGGGGACGGGGTTGCTACTGGCATCAGTTGGGTGGAGGCCAGGGATGCTGCTCAATACCCTGCAATGCACAGGACAGCTGAGAAAGGGGGAGACTGAGGAGAGGCCTGGAGAGGTCAGTGGGGAGCTGGGTGGACTCAGGGTTCTGGGGGTGGTGTGAGGACAGAGTTCCCAGGAGGAGGAGGTGAAGTAGTGTGGCCTTAAGGAAAGTTTCATCTCTGAGCCTCGGTTTCCTCATCTGTACAATGGGACTATGTACAAAGGGTTGGGTGACGGTTCAGGGGTCAGGAATAGAGGCCCCGCCGCAGCGTGAGCCCTCCTGGATGGGGCTGTTGCTTCCTGTCTGTTCCTCCCACCCCACAGGCTGAACATACCTCCCACATGGCCTGTTTTCCCAGGGCTGCAGGCTGGAAGCCAGGACACCTGTGTGTACACCTGCCCCACGAGCACATGCATGCGCACGCGTGTTCAAATGGTGCCCCGCACACTGCACACCTGGCCTTACGGCTCCCCACCCAGCCCGGCTTCAGCCCCAGTGGCCAGGTGCTGGGCAGCCCGGCCAGCAGGTGCTGGGGCGGCTTCTGGGCCAGTAGGCACCGGATGGCTGCTGGCAGAGACGACTCAAGTTTCATGGAGAGAAGCAGATGGTCTTGGGGGTAGGGGAGGCACTGAGACCTCCGGTAACCCTAGAACGGGGGTAAACTGAGGCCAGGTGTGGTGAGTGGGCCCCAAAGTGGCCCTGACTTCCCAAAAGAGCCTTGGGGTTCAGTTCCACATGATTATAAAATAACTATTGCTGATTGAGCGGTCCAGTCTCGGGTCTACCGCTTCCTGCTGGGTGCCTTTAGCCAGGTGACTTCACCTCTCTGAGCCTCAGTTTCCCCATCTGTATAACCAACAACAAAACCAAACCAACCAGTTGCTCTCAAGTAGATCCCAGTGACCCCGTGTGTGTCAGAGCAGAACTGTGCTCCACAGGGTTTTCAATGGCTGATTTTTTCAGAAGTCAATTGCGAGGCCTTTCCTCTGAGGTGCCTCGGTGGACTTGAACCGCCAGCCTTTCGGTTAGCAGCTGCGTGCATTCACCGTTTGCACCCCCAGCAGACGTCCCGTCTGTATAAGGGGTGTATGTTAAAATCACCCACCTCTCGGGTCGTGTTTTGAAGGCTAAATGAGTTAATCCTGGATTAAGTACTTACAACATCCGGTTAAGTACTTACAACGTCCGGTTAAGTACTCACGACGATGCCTGGCACACAGCAAGTGCTTTATAAGCGCTTGCAATTTTCATGATTTATTGAGCTCCTACTGTGTGCCAGGCCCGGTGCTGGGGTTGGGGACATAGTGGTGGCTAAGACAGACCCAACCCTGCTCTGTCAGGTTTCACGGTGCAGAGGGGGAGACCGACAGTTCACTGGGCGTGTCCTGGTTCCCCAGTGCTGCTGTAGCAGAGATCCCAAGAGGGGGTGGCTTTAATGAACAGACATTTATTTTCTCGTTGTTTAGGAGGCTAGAAGTTCGAATTCAGGGCCCTGGCTCTAGGAGAAGGCTTTCTGTCTCTGTTGGCTCTGGGGGAAGGTCCTTGTCTCTTCAGCTCCTGTTCCCTGGGTCCTTGGAAATCTCACGTGGCATGGCCTCTGTCTTCCCCCATCTGCTTGTTGGTTGCTTGCTCGATCTACTCTTTTATATCTCAAAAGAGATCGACTTAAGACACATCCTGTACTGTCTCATTAACATAACAAAGACAACCCATTCCCGAATGGGATTATAACCACAGGTATACCAAAACCAAACCAAACCCGTTGCTATCGAGTCGATTCCAACTCATAGCTACCCTATAGGGCTGCCCTGGAGGATTTCCAAGGAGCGGCGGGTGGATTAGAACTTTTGGTTAGCAGCTGAGCTCTCAACCATTGTGCCAGGGGTTAGGATTTGCAACAGATATTTTGGAGGACACAATTTAATTCATAACAGGGCAGTTACAACACAGGGTGTTGTAACTGCGAAGGCTTCCTGGAGGGGGTGTCTGAGCCCTGAAGGATGTGCCCACCAGGTTACTGGGAGAAGGAGACGGTGTTCCAGGCAGAGGGAACAGCATGTGTAGATGCCCAGAGGTGGAGATGGAAGGGAGGGGAGGAGCTGGGGCTTCATTTTGAGGGCACTGGGGAGCCACAGAAGGGATTAGGGCAGTGATTCTCACTTGGGCGTGATTTGTCCCCAGGTAACACTGGACGATGTCTGAGGACATTAGTGGTTGTCATGACTGGGGGGAGGGGCATTTCTACTGGCAACAAGTAGGTGGAGACCAGGGATGCTGCTCGACAATCTACAGTGCACAGGACGCCCCAACCCAGAGGAGGATCTGAGCCCCGTGTCAGCAGTGCGGAGGGCAGGGAGGGCTCCTGGTTTAGAGCAGGAGAGGGAGTGGTAAGGGTTGAAGTCTAGAAAGATTCCTTTACTGCCGTGAGGAGGATGTGTTGGAGGGCAGGGGTGGAGGCTGGGGGACCAGGTAGGAGGCTAGAGGTCAGATAGGGTGCTGGGAGCAGAGAGGATGGATGGGAGAGAGACTCTGGAGGGAGAGCAGGACCCATGGGTCATGGATGGGGAAGAGGAGGCAGGAAGTGAGGCTGGTCTCCAGCTCAGGAATGCTGGGGCCGTTCCTGAGTCAGTCTTGGAGAAGAAGCAGGTTTTTTTATTTTTTTTAATTCTTTTTATTGTACTTCAGGTGAAGGCTTACAGAACAAATAGTTTCTCATGAAACAGAAGTACACATGTTATTTTACAACATTGGTTAACAACCCCACAACATATCAACCCTCTAACTTCTCAACCTCTTTTTTTTCTGGTGAAAATACACATAGCCAAAGATACACCATTTCAAAAATTTCTACATGCACAGTTCAGTGACATCGACTACGCTCTTCAAATTGTGCTGTCATTCTCACTTAAGATGAAGGCTTACAGAACAAAATAGTTTCTCATTGAACAGTTACTACAAATGTTGCCCTATGACAATGGTTAACAATCTCACAACACATCAACAATATTCTTACTCAACCTTGGGTT